GACCGATAGTTGGACGCGGTCGCCTCCTACTAAGCCACCGCCATATGTAACAACGTATACTGCGCTGGCGTCCCGCGGTGAGAGACGTGGAGACAGTAGCTTGAGAGGATAAACATAAGATAGCTCGGAGAAGGTCGCTTCCGAGCCATGCTTGCGGAGGACAATCCGACCTGTCCCCGGATCCATGCTCAGGGTGAAGGGACAGACAGAGTCGAGACTAATAGACGTAGCACTGCACCAAGCCAGGCATACTTGTCGACCATAGATCGACGCAAGACGACAGGCACAGCGCTCCCCGACCGCCGTAAGGAGGGCCCACGTGATCCTGACGCGCTGTGTGCGCTGCAGCTACACGACCGTCCTGACACTCAGACCTGACAGCACCACCGCTGTTCACGCTCACCTCACCTTGCGGAGATGCTCGACGACTGTACGTGAATAAATGCTGTCCAACTTCATTGCTAACTTCTCGGAATACACAGTTGTTGAGCATGCGGGACTGCCTGGTCTTCCACACACATCTCTGCCACAGGTCCAATATGAGGGATTTGAGCCAATGTCCTACGAAGATGAGGCAGTTGTAGACGGTCTTGCAACATCTGTGAGCTGTGACACTCTCACCAATGTACTCCTAGCTTCAATCCCTTGTCTAGGATCAGGTTGACGCCGCAGTACCCGCAGCGCCGCTCTTCGAGCTCGGCCGTGTACAGTACACCCTGCCGGCACCATTATCGGCCCTTGCAGTCTCGTCGGACGTACTGACGATGGGACTCTCCAATAACACCATCGTACAAATCGAACTCTCGCGCTCCGAGCAGGTTGTCAAGATCCAAATTCCTCGCAAGCTAAATGAATTCTCCATTCACAGGCTCTTCCTGGACCCTTCTGGGAGGCACCTCGTCATTGCCTCTCTGCAGGGAGAGAACTGGTATCTCTACCGGGGGTGGAAGAAGCCACGGCAGCTCAAGACGTGGAAGATGGTTGTCGAGAGCATTGCTTGGAACAAGCCTGCCCTGCTTGCCTCTTCCCATTCTACCTCCACGCGCGAGATGCTTGTTGGAACGAAGAGCGGCGCGATCTTTGAGGCCGTGCTTGACGCCGAGGAGGACTTCTTCAAGTCGCAAGAGAGGTACCTACAACCAGTTTACAGCCTTCCGGAGCGCCAGCCTGTCACTGGCCTCAAGTTCGACTTGTTTCCGCCCGCAGATCCTCGGAAGGCCCACGTTGTCATCACTACGCCGACAAGAATATACCAGTTCGTCGGTATACCTGACAGACGGGGCGATGATGGAGGTCGGGTGTTCCTTGGGTTGTTCGCGAGCTACAGGGATTCAGCACCGAGTCAGTCATTCCCCCTTTCGGTAGCATAAGCGGCACTGATGGTGCAGAACTAAGCAATCTCCGAACTTCCTGGCAATGTCGACTACTCCGAGTTGCATACGTATGGCCCCAACGCGGATCAAGCCAACTCTTTGCCTAGGTACCTCGGATGGATGACTCGTACGTTCGATAACTCAGTTCGTTGTGAAGCCTTCTCATGCAATACTCCAAGAACCTGGTATATACCACGGGGCGCTGAACTACGAATCCACCACTGACGACTTGATCGATGGCGCTCAGTTGCTCCCGTACCCGAGTACCATGGCGTCGGCAATGCCACTGTCTGTTGCGTTGACCGAGTTCCACTTCATGCTCCTCTACAGGGACAAGGTCATTGGTATCTCGAACTTGAATGAGCAATTGACTTACGAAGAAGTGCTGCCTTTGGTATGATTATCACACTCTGCGTATGGTGTTGATAAACCTGACCTCTGGGATAAGAAACCTAGCGAGGAGATACGCGGTATGACTGCGGACCCCGTGCGAAAGACATACTGGGTATACACAGACCAATCCCTGTTCGAGCTCGTAGTCGCAAACGAACATCGGGACGTCTGGAAGATCTACCTGGAGAAGGGCAAGTATGACTTGGCTCTCCAGTATACGACGGTTGGTTGTTAATGCTCTACGTGTTCTGCCAGACTGATATTCTCTGACAGACAGCAGCCCAACGGGACCACGTCATGTCGGCCCAGGCGAAAGCGTACTTTGACGAGGCTCGGTACTTCCAATCAGCACAGTGCTACTCTCAATGTTCGGTTAGCTTTGAGGAAGTGATCCTTAAATTCCTCGATGTTGGTGAGAAGGATGCGCTTCGTTCGTATATCACGTCCCGCTTGGAAAGGACCAGGAAAACGGTTGGCAATCTTCCCGCACTGGCTCGTACTTAAGGGCTGACAGGACGTCGCTAGGATCTGTCTCAAAGGATGATGCTTGCGACGTGGCTCGTAGAGTTCTACCTCAGCAAATGCAATGAGCTCGACGACCTCATAGCGTCAGAGTCTGTGTCTCATGACGTTGACAATCTGCGGGCCGAACGTATTATATTGGAGGAGGACCTACGACAGTTCTTCCAGACGTACAAGGTACCTAATAACCCGCTTACATCTCGAGGTCGCTGACACTCCATAGGCGCATCTGGACCCCAGGACGGTGTATGAACTTATCCAAGGGCATGGGCGGACCGATATGTATCTTCACTACGCAACGATCGTGGGTGACCACGAAAGGGTAGTTGAACATTGGGTATTCGAAGAAGATTGGACGAAAGCTATCGATGTCATTGCGCGACAGGTAAGTCACCTGTGTGCCCAGTTCCGAACCTTGCTTACTCGAACCTTGCTCAGTCAAATCTGGACTTGTACTATCGTTTCGGCCCTGTCCTTATTCGCCACGCACCAAAAGAGACTGTTGATTCTTGGTTGCGCCAACCATCCCTCGACCCTATCCGACTCATTCCCGCCCTCCTCCAGTTGCAACATGCACCCCGCGATCCGCTTTCACCCAACCAGGCAATTCGATACCTCAATCATGTCATCTTCGAACGAAGCAACACCGCACCGACCATCCACAATCTCGTCATCACCTTCTACGCCTCCCCTTCCACTCAGTCATCGTCGAGCTCTTCCTCTGGCGCAACCCACCCTGACGACGATGCGCCCCTACTACGTTTCCTGTCATCAGCACCATCAGATCCTCTTACGGGCAAGCCGTACTATGACCTTGACTATGCACTGCGGTTGTGCAAACAGTCAGGCCGGACGCAGCCATGCGTGCATATCTATTCAAAGATGGGTCTATACGAAAGCAGCGTCGACCTTGCGCTCGAGAAGGGCGATCTGGAGCTGGCGAAGATCAACGCCGACATGCCCGAAGATGACGACCAGTTACGGAAGAAGCTCTGGTTGAAGATCGCGAAGTACGTGGTACAGGACAAGCAAGACATCAAGATGTATGTTCGCGCGAAGTTCTGGTCTGCAAACTCTGCTCATTATTCTTATGAATAGGGCTATGCGTTTCCTGGAGAACACCGAGTTACTCAAGATTGAGGACATACTGCCGTTCTTCCCTGACTTCGTTGTTATCGACGACTTCAAGGACGAGATATGTACCGCGCTCGAAGACTACTCTGCACACATCGACACGTTGAAGGCGGAAATGGACGAAGCAACTCGCAACGCCGAGGCTATCAAACAGGATATCAGTGCCCTGCAGAAACGCTTCATCACCGTCGATTCAACGGAGAAGTGCTCGGTATGCCACCAGGCGCTCTTCACTAGACAGTTTTATGTCTTCCCGTGCCAACATACCTTCCATGCCGACTGTCTCATCGGTCTTGTAAGTCACTTATTCCGGCAACTCATGTTAAAGCGAGGCCTTAACGTCGTTTCCAGACGAAGGAGTACCTGCCCGCGCACGCACTCCGGCGCATCGTCAACGTGCAATCGGAACTGATGAAATTGACGCAGAAAGGTGCATTAGATCGCACTGGCAGTGTGAACCCCTCAACACCGCTCCCTCGACAACCCACGTCGCAACGAACACTTCTATCCGCCAACTTCGGCGTTGCACAGAATGGCACTCGCGGTGCTGCCTCGCTCGGGCGCAATCTCCTGTCCGCCGGCGATCGTCTACGGGACCTCATCATCCCAGACGCGCTCGCCAGCGTCGTCACTGCACCTGCTGGCTGGATACCCGGCATAGGCACCGGTGCCACGAAGCGCGTTGGTGGCGAGAAGGACGCGGTCAAAATAGAACGGATGCGCAAAGAGCTGGAAGACGTGCTTGCTGCCAGCTGTCCATTGTGCGAGAGCGTGGTAGCCGGTTTGGACAAGCCGTTTGTGCAGCCAGGGGAGGTGGATTCCAGTTGGACATTATGAGGTGGTTGCTGGTGGTATTGACTCGTTATGCGTGCTGTTTTTATTTGCTACTATCCATTCATAGCGTTCATTGTTGAATGTTTCCACGTACAGGGCTGCTTCTCAGTGATAAGCTTTCCATAATCCTTCGGCCTGCAGTGAAGGTCTGCTCGTCCCGGTGCTCTTTTGCTCTTTTGCTCTCCTCCCACCGATGAGGCCGAAACGGCGTTTTGCGTCCCGACAACTCCGTGCAAATTGTCGTGGGACTAGGGCATATTTGGAATGCGGGATGTGCAGCATTCAATTCACACGGCGCGGGCAGTGGCTAAACTATCAGTACTTCAGTGCGGGAGGTAAGTGATTCTCCCAACTACTACATAGTAGCTTATGTATCCAATGAACAGAAATATGGATGCCGCCGCGCTCTACAGAGCTGGAGCGGCATGCATGTAATCTAAGCGCATTGTCGCTCATGTTCAAACTCCATGACATCGTTCCGAAAACAGTGCAGCCGCTGTAAAGCCCGACCCAAGATTGTCATGCTGAATGAGATGTCCCCGGGTCGTTGTCGAGGGTTCGCACATCACAGAGACTGATCACCTCTGCAAATCGGCCCGTCGGTACCAGGTCTGCCGCATGTTGTCACCCAGGACGACATATACGAAAGCCACCTCATTCTAAAGTGAACGGGAATCTGGGCAAACATCTGACAAGTATAGCAAGGCCCACTTCGTCGACGCATACATTGGGTTCATTGATAGGGCCATCGCTCACGATGAGACATTATATCCCTTTCCTTTCACCTTCGACCCTGAACGTTATCTTGGCCCCGAACCGCAACAGGATCTCCGGAAGTTCGCATTCGGATTCGGGCGGCGGATCTCAGGCCCAGGTGCGTGCTTGTCTACGTTATGTGTCCCGGAAACCTACTGATACAGCCTCGTTGGGCGTTCAGGCCAGCACTTTGCCGAGACATCTCTATCCCTGAACGTGTCTAGCCTGCTTACCGTGTTTAACCTATCGAAGGCGGTCGACGAGCATGGCAGGGAGGTCGACCCAGACGCGAGGTGGACTTCAGGTATCCTCGTTCGCCGGAGCTCCTGGAGTCGTTGGCGGCGGAGCGTACTGCTACGGCCTAGTACTACTAGCGGCAGAATTTGGCAACAGGGCTGCCACTCAATACAAGTTGTTGGACGTACGTGTGTACTTCATGCAACTAAATTATGCTGTACTCGTCGAACC